CCCCAGCTTTCATCATGAAACGTAAGGTGCTGTCGCTATGGCCCCGTGGCTGTCATGGCAACTGAGGACCTCTTTTTTGGTCTGCCCAATTTGTCGATGGTACTGTCCTTCTTTAATGGTCTTAAGACACTGTATGTCCTTCCCCAAGGTGATGCTTTTGATGGAAGGCAAATACTTCAACACAGTCCTTGGCAAGGATGACACACCGGTCCCAGAGAGGTTAAGCTCTTGTAGGGAGTTCAGACCAAAGATAACTTCAGAAGTCAATGACTTCAAGTTGGGATGGCTGGATAAATCCAGTACTTGAAGGGCTTGTAGTTCCTTGAAGCTATAAGGAGATAACTCCCCAAAGCCACGCAGGCCACTGAGGGATAAATGAATCAAATCTTTCAGCCCCGTGAAGTCGCCTTTCTCAATCTTGACTAGAGGGTTCCCGTCAAGATTTAAGTATCGGAGAGGAATGCCTTGAAGGTTTGGCACCCATGTTAGCCTGTTTCCAGAAAGATTTAAGTTCTGGATGTTGGGGACGCTCTTTTCTCGGTGCCTTGTAATTGTGCTGAGCATATTATTGGATAGATCCACATTCAGGGGTTTTCCTTGACCTTTGGAAGCAAAAATGTCCATAGCTATATCCAAAAGCTTGTTATGGCTCAAATCGATGTCACCCAAAGGAGAACTGGAGAAACAGTCCTCCGGGAGGACTTCCAGAGAGTTATGACTCAGATCCAAGGACTCCAGGTACCGAAGTCTGGAGAAGGTTGTAGAGGAAATCTTGGCGATTTTGTTGTAGCTCAGGTCAAGGCTCACCAAGGTGGTGTATCCAGGGCCAGTAAGCATTGATTCATTGATTGTTTCCAGTTTGTTTGATGATAGATCCAAGTAGGAAGTATCCAGAGGGATTGGGACGGGAACAATGTGTGAGCCTATTCCACTGCAGTCCACTTTGGTCAAGCTAAAGCTGTCAAAGAGACCAAAGCTTTCCACTTCACAATGGCAGCCAGGGAAGCAGGTTTTGGTGGTACCAAAACAAGGAAGGAGAAGCAGCAAATTGAGCCAGACGAGGAACTGCATTGTTGACCTGGAAAAGAAGAAAATAAGAAAATAGATTTAATTGCCACAGAATTTACTTTACTGAAGATGTGTAACAGTTTGAGTCTCGCAGCCTTCTACTCTGTCTTTCCAAAGGGATAGATTAAGTATATCCTTAAATAGCATGGATGTCGCAAACATTTTGTCTTTCATGCTACAAACCCCAGTGGCAACTTAATGGAGAAAACAAACTGGCTTAACAGTCTTTGCAGATATTACCAAGTTAGGACACAACTAGAAATTAGCTGTAAAGAACAGTAAGCTGCCTTAAAGCAAGATTTATCCAACATGCATCCTTTGGACTGGACCATGGAAGAAGAAGCCAAATGACAGCTCTCTGAGTCATTTCACAGCCTGGCAAACTTCAGCACATAGAGGTCTTCAGCTCAGGGGTCAGGGCACCTATGTGAGATTTGTGACTGCTGGGTTCAAGATCCTGCATTGACAGGTTGGAGGAATCATTTAGGCTGTGCATTCAGTGCGAGCGTTAGGGGTCCAAACCCCTTAACAGGGAAGGAAAAAACAAAGCTTTGTTCAAATTTCCTATAGATGATAGAGATAATGGCATCATCAGAACGTCTTCCAAGATGAGCAGCTTGAGAGGCCAGCTGCCCAGGTAGACAGCACGTCTCCCTTGCTAAGAGTGCAGATGCAAATTTGGAAGTGTTTATGTAGATAGGATCATTGTTTTATCTCAGGTGGCTGAAACCCACCCTCCTGAAGCTGGTGGCAGGCAGGACAGACAATAGCCCCTTGGTTCCTTGCCTGTTGGAGCAGAGGAATCAAGGACTGCTCAGTCTAACTCTGTATCACACAGAGCCTCTGGGGAATCTTTGCTAATTACATTAAGCATTTTTTTTTTTTCTGATTAATGATGCCAGCAAGCAAGGAGCTCTCTCCACCCCTCTGGTTTTGACCCTCTTCCAGCTGAGACATTTCAGTCCCTCCACTGTTGCAGCCAAGGGAGAAAGAGCACTGATCTGCACCTCACTGGCTTTGCTGGACCTCTTTAGATCACATCCTGACAGCTCCTCCACACAACTGTGGGCAATAGCAGCTGTGTGATTTCAAGAGCCACACAAAAATTCCTTAGCTCTACGTCTCTGGAGAGGGCCAACTGGAGTGTGCCAGCATCATCCTGCAGCTCAACAGAGAGAGAAAGGGCTGTCCTTGTTGGTTCCCACTGCATGGGTGATGGCTCCTTCTACCTTACATCAAAGCCTGGGAGGCCAGCAACAAAAATTCCCAACAACCAGGCAAGCAGATCCATCAGCACCACTGCTGGCAATAAATAGAGGCTCACACGCCAAGCACTCATTTAGCCAAAAAAAAAAAAAGAAAAAAAAATCCCCTTTAAACATGTGTTCCCATTCCCACCTCAGCCACCCCTGGTCTTAATTCTCACCTTTCCCACCGCTGTTCAAAAGCACTTTACTGACTTCCTTGCAGTATCATCTTTCCCACACCCCTTTTGATCTGGCTGAGGCACCTTCCCCACAGCCCTTGCACCTTCTTGGGACCATTTCCTAAAAGTTCATGCTTCCTTTCATCTTCCCTCATCCACCCCTTGGCAGCAGTTTCTCTCCCTTTCCAGAATGGTCTTCCTGGCCCTGTGCTCTTTCCCAGGAGACCTATCAGGGACTACTTGCCAACGTGCAAAAGAAGTGCAAAAGGGGAAAAAATGTTGCAAAAATATTGTCCTGATCAGTGATAGGACGTGTCTGGAGGTAACTCCCAGACCTCCTGCAAATAGAGAGCAGAGACTGGGACTCTGGCCAAAGTGCCTGCAGCCAAAGCACTGCTGAAGGCCAACACGTAATCCTCTGGGGTCCATTATTCTACAGAAACAACAGAAAATCAGTAAGATGAACCCTGGTCCCAGCCCATCTCAACTGTTTCTTGAGGGAACACATGTGTGCAGGGGGAACGCAGAGGGGACGGCTCCTTTCTGCAGACATGTTTCCAGATATCCCTTTCCTGATGACATCAAGGCTGATCCCCTCTGGTTCTGTGCAGACAGACCATAGCTTGCTCCCTTCTGCAGACCCTCCTAAATTAGACACTATAGTTTTTTTGGTTGTGTTTTTGTTTTCTTTTTTTCCCCCATGAAGCTGCATTTGAAATGCACCAAAGTGTTTTATCGTCAGGGGAAATTACAGCAGTGGGGAGCTCTTTGGAAACTAAAAAAAGCAAAAACTCAAATGTCTCACATACAGGGAAGTACCAACGGTAGTATCAGCTCAGTCTACTGGTATTTCTTCTCCTAAACCCCAGCCAGTGGCTAGTCCCACTTGATGTCTCAACAGGGAAAGCACCTTGTAACTTCTCCTTCAAAAGCCCAGCTCAGTTCCTCACAGCATCCTGTTGGTTCCAGTGGGAACTGGATCAGACCCCAGCAGGTCCAAAGACACATGGGAGACTTGGCATTTGGAGCACTGCTAAGACCTTCATGGGCTCCTGATGGACAAACTGAAGAAAAGCAAGACAGAAGTCTCCAAAGTCCTATTTTAACTGGGAACACATTTTTTTATAGGCTTGTAGTGAGAGTACAAGGAGTACTAGTTTTAAACTAAAAGAGGGAGATTTAGACTAGATAGAAGGAAGAAAGTTTTTACATTGAGGGTTGTGAGACAGTGGTTCAGGTTGCCCAGAGAGGTGGTAGAAGCCCCAACCCTGGAACCATTCCAGGTCAGGCTGGACAGGGCTCTGAGCAACCTGCTCTAGCTGAAGATGTCCCCACTCACTGTAGACTGGATGACCTTGAAAGATCCCTTCTAATCCAAACCAGTCTATGATTCTATGAACTGAGAGGAGAATCAAAGCCAGTGCTGCTCAAACCCCTTTTGCCATGGGAATTCCCTTCTTGATCAGCCTCAAAAGGGACCCCAAAAATGTGCAGATACAGTGACTCCCACTGCAACATCCATGAGCATGCCCGGAGAGAACATCACACAGTTGAAATGCGGCACGCAAAGCTCGTCTTAGGGATTTACATGGCACCTCTTGCCTCTTCCCTCCTCACAGCACTGCCCCAAATTCTCCCTTACTGGCTCTGCGATTGCTTTGCAGAGGAGATGCAACCCATTACCACCAGTTCAAAGCTCCCTTACGGAACAGCACGAAGCATTCACAGGCTAACAAGCCACTTGGCCAAGAGCTCTGATAAAAGATAGGAGAAATAAAGGTACTGGTCATCTTCCAGTCCAAGAAAGAGACTCCTACAGTCACAGACACTCAACGAAGAGCTCTGTCAGGTAGAGGCACGCTTTGCCATCACATGGAGCAAGAGACAGTCCTCTTTGAAATGGGGAAGGAACCACACCACAGGCATTTATGGTTCAGCTGCCTTTGAAACCGCATCAAATTGCCTTTGGATTGCTGCCTACGAACTGCTCTGTTGATAAAGGCAGGAAGCCAAGGTATCCCCTCGTAAAAGGCAGATGAGTTATCCTCCTGCAGCACTGGGGAGATTCAACTGGAGGAAACACCATGGGCCAGAAAACATTGGCAAGAGCACCTGGGATGGTAGAGGGAAAGCCACCAGAAAAAAAGTAGCCCACCTTCAGGCTGGTTCAACCATGACCTCTTCATTTCTATGGCTGTTGTGGTGTGGAGAGAGCCCAGGGATAAACTTTGGCCAGCTGACAGCTCGTGGGGGGGTGTTTATTATACCCACTGATTTCAACAGGAGCTGCTGAGTGTGCAGCACTGTCCCCATGCTTCAGGTGCCCAGAGTGGCTGCAGGTCTCTGGTCTTTACATCTTGCTCATCCTTTCTGCACAGCAAACATTCTAAGACAGCCCCAAGGAGACCCAGTGATGGGCAGCAGAGCCAAGGCTGGACCAAGGTCCTAGCAGGGTGCCAGTCTTCTCTCCAAACCCCCGTCTCCCTGAGGCTTTAGATGCCCAGACCCCTCCTCCCTGCTCTGCTCATCCCCTGTACCATTGCGTGGCAGGACTCGGGCAGAAACCTCGCACTGAGACATCCCTGCCAAAAAACACATTCAAATCTGATTTTAAAATCAGACTGCTGAGAAAACACAGGTCTTAGCTGAGGGTTGGGGGGTAAGGTGGGAGAGAGGAAAGCCTTGCTATGGTGTTGTTGCAAATTCACACTTCTCACCACACTTGATTTCCTCCTTCTCCTCTTCCTTAAAGACTTTTCTCACTAGTTTTCCCCAATCCACAGCTGAGACTCTTCCATCTTGTTCTCATCCAAGGGAGATGTGCTAACACATTCCACCCTTGATGGAAGCCCATTGCTCAGGAACTGGTCCCACCTCAGGAATGTGGAGATGAAGAGGATGCTACCTAGGCTACCTCCAGTTGCCCTGGCAACCACCAAGCTGGGAGTCCCAACAGCCAAAAAGGATTAAAATAATAAACGGGAGAGGTGTTTGAAAGCTCGTTGTTCGATGGAGTCAGGAAACATCTTGGGCTGCACCCCTCAGCCCCCCCAAACGTGTAGTTTGGCAAAGCATCATCTGAAATTCAGCTGGAGTAGGAGCTGAGGACCCAAAGTCACCCAATGAAGCTTAAGATTCATGAGTAAGCAGTACAGAAACCCCAGGCTGTCTCTACAGTGGGATGAAGAGAAAGAACTTGCTCCACTAGGGGATGAAATCCACCTAAGACCAGATCCACCCCTGCAGATGCCCCATCTCAACCTTGACCATGGTGGAGCAGGATGCCTGCCCTCCTTGGGCTGCTGCTCCCTACCCCATCCTTGGCTGCATCCTTCAAGCTCGAGTCCCACCCAGCAACCAGTTGCACCCAGGATGAATCAGTTCAGCTCAAACCAAAACAAACCCCCTATGATCTTTCCTTTCCTCGTTGGTGGGTCAGTTTTCCAGTCTTTTTAAAAGCAGCCCACTGTTCAAGCAGATCAGCTATGACATGAATCCCCATGTGTCTAAGATGGTTAACAGTTGGACTCAATCTTAAAGGTCCTTTCCAACTTAAATGATTCCATGATTTTAAGACACA